TTTATACAAAATTCTGATCTTCTCGAATGATAATAATAAATTTTTTAATCGACGAACTCTATGTTCACAGGCCTACTGTTTTCCGTGATATGTAGCTTGACGAACGGCAGGGGCGAGATGGAACGGCGATCCTACAATATTGTCCTGCATTAATAACATTTGCGTACGGAAAGAGAAGAAGGTCATCAAGCTTTGACATTACCTTTTCGCCGAATCCGCACATGCGCGCTCGAATCGGTTGTTGCGCGACTTCGAGACGATACTCCCAGTTGTCAGAAATTCTGCAAAAACAAGCGAGATGTTAATGAACATGTTGTTTTTGTTTCTCATTTCACGAGTGATCCGAGGTCATGCGTAAAAAACATGCGCATAACACGACTCAAAATGAGGAGGCCGTAATTAACACACCCGTTCGGTGTCTGGAACAAATTTTCCAAGATCATTTCCTTCGTGGCGTACTGAAGGGCCTGGTCAGAAGTTGAAGTTGTTTCACTTTCGACCCTTGGTTTTGGCGAGGAAGAGGACGCCAAAATGTTTTGTCGACTTCCCTGGGGAGAGTGGTTGATGTACAACGATGAAGAAGGGCTACGTTCCATTGATTATTGATTGATTTGGGAGAACGAGATGTTTGGGTGTTGACACAGCGGAGCAGATGGAACAATTAGGGAACGTGAGGTAAGCGCCGTGATGCTAAATTTTATCGAGAGAAAAGAGAGAAAGAATAACAAGTGAGTTTAGAGCATACATATTATGAACACGAAGGGGACGTATTTTTTTTTTTTTTTATTTGTTATTACCAGATGCCAGAGAAAATAAGAGGCGGTCAGAAGCAAACACACAGTACGGCCGCTCTTAAATAGAAAAATTCAGGTGAAATACCAAGAGACGGATAAACTTTGTTTTGGATATAGTGCTTATTTGTGAAAAAAAACCCAGAAAATTCGGTGCGTACGAAGCCAAGAAGCAAGATTCTAAAGAATGTGAGTTTACAGTCCCCGTATATATATGCGTGAAAACAAATGAAGTGAAGGATAATTGCTAACCATATTATGCCTTTCGGTGCCACAATTTCAAAATAAGCTTCAATCATGCATTCTCGGGTGAGAGATTCCCTTAAGGTGGTGGTGACCTTTGGGAATTTGAGCTTTGTGATACTATTTTAGAATACAAATGATAATAAAATTATCCTTATCCATTGTTGACATAAAGAGCAACTAATATAGCACATGCCTTCCTATCCTCCGATGCACCCATGAAAATAAAATATACGCATAATGTACAGACACTTAAATTACTATGCTACTGATGAAATTTACTGTACATTCCCGGGGATATTGAATTCAGTAAGAGTAAGTTCGTTGTCTGCCAACGAACCAATCAATGCTTGAAAATCTTTGATAAGGAAAACGAACTCTATATATTTTAGGTTCGTTACACAACTTCTATTCTAAAATTGCGAGTCTCAGAGATTGAAGTCAATGGACACTAGTGAGAATTGACATTCAGATGATAAATTAATTGCGTAAATTAAAAAAACCGAGAACCACTCGGAGTATGGACTTTAATTTTGACGCCCAGCTCAGAGTCAATTAAATTATATTATTATCATTCGAGAAGATCAGAATTTTGTATAAACTGTCCGACGCTGTTCTTGTGATCTGTAATCTATCGTAAGCCTAATTTTCGTATTGCGGGCGATCATCACATTCGTCACTTTAGATATCTTGAATCCAATCAATAAGTGATTGAAGTAAATAATAAGTGTACACGAGACCTTTAATGTATAAATTTTTGGAGAACAGAAGTTCCCTCCGTTCACCACATAAAAGGACATCATTCAATTCAAATGAGGAAAGGAACGCCGTTGTTCACGCGGTAACCGTCGACCCCCGTAATATATTCATTCCATTAAGAGGGCAAATCAGGTTTTAAACTCCAAAGGCAACTGGTTCTTCTAAGCTTTTATTAGAATTGCTAATCTGGGAGCTGACATCTGTGAACACGTATCGATGAAACACGGGATCCCCGAGGAACAAAAACGGATGTCATATAAATTTGTTTTTTCCATCCGCGCACCAATCACCAAAAACCTTGCCGCGTCCTCCGATTACATTAGCTCAAATCAATGTTACTTTTTTGCCGAGCGTTCCGCTTTCGTAATCGAGAACCTCGGTATTATCCTCGGTGAGATAAATCTCCCTTCAAAGGATCACGCCCAACTTTAAACGCATATACAGTATCATTAGATAATCTTGTGAAATCGCGGCGTGATATTACCAATGTGCCTGACAATAACAACAACAATAATAATAATTTACGGCCGCCCAACGAGTTTTTTGTTTAATGTGACAAAAAAAAAAAATATTTTTTTTTTATTTTATTTTTTTTATCTTTTATTTTAATTTAATTTATTTTTCATTTTAAGATAAGATTTGTCGCACCTGCCTGCCCATGACTCACGCGTATCTTGCTTAAAGAAAGACAGTATTGCTACTTAAAATGTCTAAGAAGCTTTGAGTCAATTGTATTCCAAATAAACACGCAAGGGATCATGGAATCTCCGAATTCTTCGAATTCCTTTGGTCATCACAGGCGTGAGCCATGCCGTGGTTACGGCCGATGATTGCGGTGTAGATTAAAGGAAAAAAAGGGGGGATGAGTGGAACGCTATGGAATCTTCAGGACATGCTAATACATTTTTATTTATCTCATTATGATCATTATGACGAGTGAGAATACACGACGCCGTTCTGTTTTTAATTCTAAGAAGTTCCTCGTGACGTGTTAGGAGCATGATTTGTTTTTCTCTCGGACTAATATAGTTTAATTGCTCTATCATCCGAAAAAGTTATTTATTTTATTTCATTTTGTTTACTCATAAATTATCTATTCTGATTTTTATTTTATATGCGCACATGTACTCTATGTTGCGTTTTCAAGCAAACATACAGTAAACATATAACATTTGACTGATACAAGATAAAGATGATACTGGGACCATCAGTTGCCGCATTAATTACTTGAACATTTGAGATATCGCGTCAATCAAACCCTTTTAAGTAAGTCTAGTTTCGCCTAAAGTTCGCGCGACCTCTGGTTTCATCGTGTTTCATCTGATTGTCTTGTCCCCCGAGGATTCTGGTCAAATGTCGCGGGGGGCAACCTCACAATATCCGCATTTGGGGAAGAAAATAATAGATAATGCTGGCGTAACAACTCTTTCTTTCAACCTGGTTCCGGTTTAGACCAACCTTTCTTCGTTTGTTTACTATCACGGCTAGGTGGCCTGGATTCTTTCTCAGTGATACATCTTCCGCAAACATATGTTAATCTAGCTTTATCGGACATACGGATGAGCCCAGTAACTTTCTTGGGTTTAAAACCGGTTGTTTTAATACTGCACGCCACATCATTCACAGTGACAAAAAAAAACCCCCCATTCACGTTCCTCAATGAATCGTGGCACACTGAACACATCTTCACAGGGCGCTACGTCACGTGAAGGATCGCTTGGTGATTTGTTTTTGCGCAGCCATCGAAACAGACAATTTGTAAGATGACTCGGAGTTCTTTTGGACGAATTCAAGACCAAAAGGAAGTCTTCACTTCCAATTTTATCGTAAGCATTATCGTACTGGGTGGGGTGCACCTATGACCAATGTTTCCATTGTGCCTAAAACGCGTAGGAATCAGAATCGTTGGTTGCACGAACATCAGACCATAATGAGGTACTACATGCGCAATAACTCTCAGCAACCTGATTGGCAGAAGATATTCCGATCGCTGCGCAATGAAGTGCTGGGAATCATTAGCAGCTGAGAAGTGGTGTTTTTTTTTTTAATTGCATCAATAAATGCGCGTAAAGGATACCATATTCACCATCCATTCATTCCCTTGCAGTCAATTTTTAATGTTTCCACAGGATCTTCCGGGGACACTTTCTAGGATTGTCATGCTGATAACGCCGTCTTAATAGAATCCCGTTATGGAATGTATCGCTTTGATTGTCGGAGAGGCTGTATTCCATAAGAGGTACATGTACAATTGCACACGCCGTTGTCAAAATCGTTGTCAACAACAAATAAAACCGAAATAACTTATATCGCCTAACTTTAAAGTTTGCCTGTTACGTTCTCACAAACTTAAATTCGTCCAATGCCTTTGACGCCAAGGTTTACCGATCGATGATGGCTCCGATTATCGCAATTCCGAGCCGCATTATGAACCTGGGCAGACAAAAGAATTATAAGATTCGGAAAAGTGATTTTTGTAATTTTTTTTTCTTTTTCTTTTTCTAAAATAATAATAATAATAATAATCATCATAGTAATAAAATGAATTGGTGATAATAACTTGACCTAGAATTTGATTGGCGTTAGAGTATACAGAAATTTCTTAATATTTTTCGAACATTAGAAAGGTGCAACAAGGTTTCGTATCACCCTTCCCTGTGAGAGTATTTGGGCTGATGGTGTACGGTCGTAGACACGGTAGATGTCACTTTCGTTGTTGCATGACCTCCTGCAGATCCGAAAAAAGGGTCACAAAGAAAACAGTTGGGACAATGCAAGCCACTCACTTCAACTTGTTTCACAGTAGGGTGAGGCCGGTCACTCGATAACCTAATAAGCTCCACAATTAATAATACTGTGTAATTGAATTCTAAAATGTCTTTGAGGCCTCTGGGTGCACAGGTGCCAAGACACCATTTCGGTCATAGCATTGTATAATTTCGACACTTTACGGTGTAAGAAAACCTTTACAACAAAATCGGTCGCATGATGCCATCAACATGTCGCATTAACCTGATCAACCAATTCCAGCTACTATTCTCAAGATACTGTAAATGATCTCTCCCGACACATACAACTTTGTAATGAGTCCACGTGTGACGTAATTCACCGAATGTATGATGCATGCGTTCGACGTGCAAAAAGGACGCGATCAAAAGAAGTGAGCGCACATTTAAGCAAAAAACGAATATCGATTTATTAAGGTTAATAAATAATGAATTTCGACTCGGAATTGATCGATTATTCTTACATATCTTAGGACGTGTTTATTGAAGAGAAAACCGTTTGAACGAATTTAAAGCAAAGTAAATTGAAAGTTGGAAGAAGAAGAACGGAATATAAACGAAAAGAAAAACAAATAGACAGATGTATGAAAAACGTTGGCTAAATACATATGATGAAAATTTTCATAGGGCCTTACTAAAATGAATGCTTAATACAAATCTTGATGTTGAGGGGGGAAATTTCGTGCAATATATATACAGTATATACAATATATATATAAATACTGTATATGTATATTTGATGGCATATTCGCGCTTTTGTCCGTAGGTTTTGGATTAAAGGTAAAATAGATAAAATACAATTTATGTTGTGTTGAAAATTTCAAATCTATACGGATGTAAGCTATTGATTTATTGTGGCCACTCGGATAAAGGAGCGTAAGTGTTGTCTTCGATCAAAGGAATTTCGGAATATAGAAACTGTGAGAACGACGCTGGAATCGAGGTGATCAAATTTTCCTGCGCTGATGACATTTCAAGGGTCGCATGGGATGAGATGTCCATTGATGGCGCATAGAAAGGATCGCAACTTTGTGTTGCAGAGTGTATAGACGGCGGCGAATCGTACGTTGTGATGGTCGGTGTCGTATATTCAATGAAATTGTGATATTGCTGTGGAGTGGATGCAAATTCTTGACGTTCGAAGGGCGGTGGAAGTTGAGTTGGTGAGTTTACGGTAGTCCCGTGCCGATCCTCGTTCGTTTCGTATTTGTATATGTCTTGTAAGTAAAATGAATCAGATGATTCCGTTTTTTCGGCAACTGGGAGCAACACCATTTGAGGCATGGTAGCGAATTTTTTCCACGTTTTACGGTTTCGCCTTCCGGTCGATCCTTCGGATTCACATTCGGTGTTGGATGTTCTGTCGTCCTCGCCGAACAATTCCTTGTGAGCCTGAAAGTCTATGCTCGATAGGATCATGTAGATGTTTTTAACGTCGCGGGGGGCTGCCGCCCATTGACTTTTCAGGATCTTGGAAATCTCGGGCTGCGAAACTTCGGGGTTTTCTGCTTGAACCCGAAATTGGTTGTCTTTTCTAAAAAGAATAAACCCATTCTGGGCACGTTTCCTACCGCCGGTTCCGTTTTGCAGGTTTATCAGAGTTTTCTTCGACGGCGCCATGAGTTCATCGAGGGGTAGGTTGGTATTGAAAATTATGCCTTGCTCGGCCATCTCGCGGATATGTCTGTTGATTGCGTCACTTAACCGCCTTTTCATATCTGAGATAGCCTCAGGCGATCTATCTGCGATATTATTACGGCGTGACGAACTCGATGTCGAGGAGGACGAAGTTTTTTTGACGCGGGGCATCGTGTGAAGTTTTCGAGGGGAAGGATGGTAAGGATGATGAGGGTAAGGCGAAGACGAAAAATTGAGAAGGTGAAAGACGAAAAAGAACTTATTTTGTTTTGGAATTTACTGTCCCGAGGAAGGAAGATGAGTGGGAAAGTTGTGCATTTTTATAACTTGAGGATTGGTATCGGAAGAATGCCGACCTATAAAATTTTGGTCCATTGTCATTGTAGCCCTTGACATTTTCGATTATCCCAATGCATTGGGCATATTCTAGGCTCGCTTATAATATTCAGGCTATTCTTAGCCAACAAAAGGGGTGGATTTAATTTCTGAGACCACGGAGAACGGTTTGTTAAGACTAAGTTCACGATTATTATTGCGAATTGTTTTGAAATCTTATCCCCCAACGTTGCGCATTAATAAAATGTGCATATGCTGATAATAGAAAAAGGACTGAATAATATACAAGGTCGCGTAGACGAACAATCTGAGAAACCACCTAATAATTTTGAAATATTCGTTTTGCACTCCCTTTGTTTGGGGCCCTCAATCAATTTCAAATTTGTGACATGAAAAGAAAAAAAACATCGAACTTAAAAGGAAACAAAATAAATTTTTCTCGTCTTCAATGCCTAGTTACTGTATCTGGTTATCAAAATTTTCACGTTCGCGTTTATCATCGGAATTACTTGAACCAATGATGTTTCATATGTTGACATATGATCCCGTATTACACATCATGTCACGGAATTTTCGCCTCAAAGCACAGCAGATTGTCTATGGCTTGGTTCTCCATATATATCTCGAATGAGGCTCAAAAAGGCCGTAAAAGTCCGAGTTTTCTGATGATCGTGGGCGCCATCTGACGTACCCCAAAGATTTTTAAAACTGTGGCCGTTAAAATTACTGTATATATTTCATGCAATGCGTTATTTTGTGTTGCGAACTTTCAATCACGGTCCTCCTCTCTTCATGCACCTCAGCTCTGAAGGAATAGACGAAATATTCTTCACAACCGAATGCGTTATCAATTCATAACAAATTAAGAAAAGAGGAAGGAAGCATTGCACTTATTAGGTTTAATGACATGCGCCCATAGAAGTGTAGTTTTTTTACATTCAATTGTTAAATTAATGCACAGTACATGCGACATTTATAATTCATCGAAGCTTAACTGACCTGATAACGATTTTTCCTACCTGTATAACCAACCACCTGCCATTAAAAATAATCTAATTATAACCATTTTGGACATGTGATTCTCTGGTCCATCCCGGTAAATGCATTATCCCTGTTGTATATTGTGATTAACATGATCCTGTCCACTTATGACAACTGTGCGAACATCGATTTCAAAAAACATTGAGAGTTAATGGGAATTCAGAAAGCACCCGCATTTCGATTACGGACCAGAATTCAAAAGGAAAAAAAAATGTCGGTGCAATTGTGCAAAGATAACGATAATCTGCTATTTTATATTCCATGCTCCAAATTGAACAAATATTGGGTCACAGTTTAAACAATGCAAGTTCGAATTACGGCGCCATCAATTTCAAGAGTCATACAGTAATTCAAAGGTCTCATTTCGTGATTTGATGTTGTAATTGTTCGATGTGATAACCATTAGTTCGTTTTTACCGATAAAGAAAACACTTGATAAAGGCATAATGGCTTCGAGTACGGGGAATTCTTCGGATCAATATCTGTCTGTGATCGACTGGTGTGCACGGAGTTGTTCGGAATTATCTTCTGAAAAAGAGATAAATTGATATCCGTTTGCTAAATTTAATAAAGTATGTATACAGACGCTCGATGATCTTTAAAAGTTCGAAAGTGAATGGGTGGACGGTTGAGGATTTGTTCGGAAAAGGAAAACTTTACAAAGCTGCATTGAATTACCACTATCTGCTCGTCCATTCCGTAATCCATTCATTCCCATCATTAATTCCATAATTCGATTCGATTTCACAAAAAGAAAAGGGAAATAGAAAAACAAAAAAAAATTTTTTTTACTTTCCATTTATTCCTTAATGGTAACCATCAACCTATCATCTTACCATCTACCATTTATTTTAACAATATTATCTGTAATAATGGAACAAATTATTTGTCCATTTTATTTATTTATATCCTACATTTATGCAACCGAGTACAACAAACTAGTTCCATGGTGACCGCCAATAAATAAGGGGACGATCATGAATGATCGTGGATGATTGCGCAGCACAGAAGCTCGACATTACATATGATATGATGTGAGCACGTAAACATAGATATGACAATATAAGGCATGTCATGCCTACATTGGACCACGTTTTGTTAACCCGCATCGAGCCACATTTTGCCCAAACCCATGTTACTACCAAGTATTCGCGATACGGATGAAAAAAAATTTTTTTTTTTTAAATACCAGACGATAATAACGATAAGAACAATTCCAATCAAAAGGGCCCTACATACCTGCGTACGAAATTTGCACGAGCTGGTGAGTGGAAATTATTTTTTGTTTCCGGCTTAATGCATGTCATTATGGTAAACCATCACGAACTCAAAGTAGAGAAATTATCGAGGAAAAAGAGAGAAGAACAAGTTGAAATTATCATGCCAATAGCGTTGCGCAGCTCTTAGATACCAATCCACCGTCATTGTAAACTTTAGGAAAAACAAGTTAATATTTTCGAACCATGTCTGTGAGGTGCCCGGCTAGCTCAATCGGTAGAGCGTGAGACTCTTAATCTCAAGGTTGTGGGTTCGACCCCCACGTTGGGCGACTTGTGTCTTTTTTGCGTTTCGTGAGCCTACTCTTTTTTTTTTTTTGACTTGATGTTTGAAGGATCGTGGCAAGTGTGGCAACGATCGGAAATATTTTTAACCAAGTAATTGGTTGGCTGGTAATTGGGTTTACTTTGATCACCAAACATTTTATTAAGAAATATTCGATCGTGATTTACCGCGAAGCAATCCGTGAAAATATATTTTTTTAGAAAATTACTACAGTATATAGATGATTTTTAAATTGGATCAAAAGTAAAATAAAATTTTTTCAAAAAATCCTCTGGAATTATGAGGTTAATTGAATTATTTTAATTGGTGTTTCAAAAACACAAATGAAATTTCTGTCTCATTTTATACTTTATATAATTACTATTTTTTTGTATTCCAAATATTATATAAAATCGGTTTATGCTATACAGTATATCTATTTCGATAGAACATATTATTTAATTTTAAAAAAAATTTATTGATATTTATTACTGTATTCAAAAAATTATATCAACACATATAACTTAATAATAATAATAATCAAAGCTTTAATATTTCAATTTTTATTGATTATTAATTATTGTGATGCTTGATAAAAAATTTTTAAGTGGCTTTAGAATTGTATTGAATTTACCAGAAAAGAACTGCTACTTGATCTCGAACCATTAAAATCACAATCTTTTGAATAGGTTTTACAATTCCAAGCTCGAACGAGACTCTTAGAAATCAATAAAAAATTTCCTATAGTAAATTTTGTAGTTGAATAGAGGAAAAATTTCAAATTTCATATTATTTTTAGGTCAATTGTTAATAATAGGTATGATATAATGAATGCTTATATACATTTTGTTAAATACATGATACTATAACACTTTTCTAGAGATTATTCTACATCATGTTCGTGCAACACAGATTTGCCACTAATATTACTGTCGCGATTCCCTTTTTCGAGGTCTAAGTTAGTTGTTTCGGAAGGTCCTTCAACAATTTCTTCTAATTCGTTCGGTTCAAATTCACGCATGCGACTATCTTTAATCATGTTGGCCCACCTGAGAAATGATAAACCCTCCGTGAACTCATTAGATTTATTTTGGCCATAGCTTTCGCCATGAACCTGTGTTGGTTGGGCGTGCGTGCCAGAAGTTCTAAGGTAACTTTTTAGGCTTTCTGAATTACTTGGTGTACTCTTGGAATTCATGCCTTCAATAACTCTAACAATTTCTACATCAGCGGTCACAACATAAGTCATAAGTGTGTAGAAAAAGCATTGAAAGAAATTTTCGACCGTTGCTGTATCGTAATTAGGGGAATTAATAGAACGGTTTACGTATAAAAGGGCTATGTAAACTATATTTTCGCCGAAGGCCACGAGTACGCGAATAAAATTCCAGTAGATAATCGCCGTAAATATTGTGCGTTTTGTTTTACGGCTTATAATAGAATCAATTAGTGCTGCGTTTCTATTTGCTCTCCAAAGGATTATAACTAATCTGATCGTGACGTATATATCAATTACAGAGTCAACGGAGATAAAGGATAGTAATGAATAGAAAGCTGTGTTACTAGAACTGGCATTACAAATATTATACGAATTGTGATATGTAAATGGAGACGGGATCGGAAGCACATAGGGATTAAGGAATGCTATGAACGTGATCTATAATTTCCAGAGTCTATGTTAAATAAAAACTCATTATTTATTTATCTGGAATAATGTATATACATACGTGACACACGGTTCTTGCGATTATTAATGTGTAGCTCACCCATTTATTATAATTTGTCGATCCGATTTGCTTTAATCTCCATAATAAAAATATTGCTAATGCTGCTCTGTAAATAAGGTTATCGATATTTGCAATATATAGTAGACTTTTACATCCCGTAGAAGTCACGTTACTAGGGGTGGCGGTATTTAGGAATTTACATATAAATGTAATTATTCCAGTGAAGTTAAAAATAATTTTAAGGATATTTGATTCGTTTGCTCGACCGGTTTTATATAAGAAAATAGAAACGAAGAAATTATGAAAAAATATCTATAGTATGTAACAAACAGTAGATAAGTATGATAATTTTAGAGTATCAAAAGTAATTTTAAATATTTGATAAAACTTGCCATAAATGCTGCACCATACATCCACATAAGAAGAAAAAAATATTGTTGCTGTTCTATCATTTTTCAGAAAAAAACGGGAATTAAACGAATAGAGTTTATCTGGTGCGGTATTTATTAACTTCAAGAATAATATAAAGCCTATTTCGAAAATAATACTAAGCGATAATGTATATAAAATAATTCTGTGATACAAATGGCGTTTTAAATTAAGCAGGATAATAACTTGTTTGAGGTAAGCATGATTGTCAGTAGTTTCAAATTTTGTAATACATTTTTTAACAAATCGTATCTTTTTTTTTTAAAAGTAAAAAAGTTTTTTACTTTATCAATTTTATATATACATACAGTATACTGTATATTTTAATTTAGTAATTATGTTACTAATAGTATATCTTTGTTGAGATATTAAACAAGTATTTACAATTTATTACATATTGATTCATTATTATATATTATTAGTTAAAAGATTATATTATTTAAAAAATATAAAGAGTTTACTTTTTTTTTTTTTTTTAACCTGCAATCATATCACAATGGCTTGTCTTTATTGAAAAATTAAAGTAAATCAATAATAATTTATAGATTTTTACAAAGTGACTAACTTGTCTTTATACATAAGTACTCTAAATCAGATTTTAAGGACAATATTATACTCTTTTGATAAATTGATAATAATTTCTATCTACTAGAATCATTGTCAACAGTTTGTCATTATTAATTGCTTGAAAACTAATAAATTGCTAAGTTAAAAAGGAAAAAGGAAAAAATAATTGAAGAAAGAGAACAATTCAAGATCTATTAAAAAAATCCAAAAATAAAAATAATCTTTTAAAAAATCTTCTTTTTTATCACCTATAGTATCAAATGAATTAATCCAATTAATCTTTCATTTAAGTGAACATCAGATTAGGATATCTCAAGGAAAGTATTTAGACCTCAGCTTTTTTCCATTAAAGCTTTGTTACCACTTAAAAAACTTAGATAAGAGATGAGAGTTTGCAATTCATATTATCTATTACTTGATTTTTTGATATCATGGAAGTTTTTATTAAAAAACTTGAACTTTTGAGAATAAATGTTTTCAGAATTTTCTTTCTAATCATCAATGATGTTATTAAAATATGTAAATGTAACGAATAGGAGCTTGTTTATATTTCAAAATTAACATGTTTCATATTAACCAATCACCTTTAATGAGAATTTGTGCTACCCAAAATTTAGGGTCAAATTGAGATAAGTAAAATTCTTCAAAAAATTGTGAAAGTGGACCAGGATAGTCAAAAAGGAAAAAAATAAGCCTTTTTACTGTAAAAAATCTCTATAAACCTTTTACTTTAAAGATTAGATAGATCTTTAGATACTTCACAATTAGTTTTTTTTCCTTTTAAAACTTTTTTACCATTGATATCAAAGATGTTACTTGACTTTTCTTGATTACTAGGAGTTAAGTTTTTAAATGAAAAAATTTATAAATAAAAGGAAAAGGTTAGAGGTGACTCTTAAAGTCATATTTCAAGTTGTTTTAAGGAAAGTATTAAAACTTTATTAGCAAATAAGTATAAAAACTTCTTGTAAACATTTTTTTTATATGTGATCAAAGGATCAGCAGAAAGAGTTTCTTAATAATAATATAAAGAGTTTACTATATTAATTTAAATTAAATAAAATAATATTTAAACTAAATATTTTAAATCAAATTTAAAAAACAATATTTTATTTTCTTAATAAATCAATATTAGATTTTTTATTTATCAAAATTATTGTTACTATAGATTTTTTCGAAAAATAATAAATTATTAAATTAATTAAAATAATAATAATAATTCTATAAATAAACAATATTATTTTAAAAAATCTATCTAATTATAATATTTTTTAGGTTTAAATTATTTAAATAACTTATATATTAATTATTAAAATTATAATTTAGCCAAAAAACTTATTGTCCTAAGTTTTTAGAGTAACAAAACTTATTTATACTTATTATTTATGAAATTTAAACTTATAACCTAATTAAAATAGTAATATTAGTAATGTTTAACTTTACTTAATTAGAATAAAAATTTGAAGATTTTTATTATTTAAAAAATAATAAAAGTTTATATATTATATTATAATTATTTTATTTAAAAACTTTTTTAGTTAAAAATATAAACCCTTGGCCAGGCCAATACTGTGTGTTTATTAATTATATGAAAACCGATTGAGATATATAGGGCAATTGCATCATAGATAAACTAAAAGCTTGTACCGACACACTTGTCAATAGCCATCAATTCTCAAGAGAGCTTCGACCTCTAAATGCAATCTTGGGGACAATATTTCGCTCCGAACTAAGTTTTGGGTAAAGACCCTTCTAACTTACCCATCATTGCTAGCAGATTGTCACTGCTTATTATCCTCCAAGGAACTGAATTCAGAAACTACAAAAGGAGAAAGGGAAAATAAAAAGAAAGAGGGATATCTAAAAATGTGCAAATGCACTACATGAAAATGAAAAAAGAAAAAAGAAATTTAAAATTGCTCCATGTCCTCCAAAGAACCTCGACTAGGAAACCTCTTCTCATTAGGAATCAACCCTTCTAGAATATCCTTCTTCTTCCTGACCGTCTGAGAAACTTATTGATCCGTGCTCTTGATTATTTTCTTGTGACCGTCTGAGGTACTTATCGCCTACTCAGATCCAGTGTCTTGCTCAACGCTTTTTTTCTTTCAGTCTTGATTTTGTATCCACCCATGTAGAAGAAGATGGCTAACAGTGGACCCCAGGTTCT